ACGGCGGTTTTTAGTGAAGGAGGCACATATCCAGATTCCAGGGACAAGTTTACAATCCTGCAAAGCGTGGGTAGAAGCATGTCAAAATTTTCTTTTAATCATGCATCTCGATGCAAGCTCAGAAATTATTGTGATGGCTTTCATTGGGTAAACAAGACATTTACGTCTGCTCGCCGCGCTCAAACATCCATTCGTATGCACTTTAGAATCTTTAAGTTCAGTTCGTATATCTGAACTTGGTTCAGGGGGAGAAGCAGAGGAAGGTTCACGTTGTGTAATTCGTTCATCATTGCGGGATTACTTGATTTATCGGCATTCCCCGGTTTTGTCCACTCACGATTTTTTCCTGCCCAAGTCTTTCTTCACGTGTGTTTAGATGTGATCCTATATATAATGACCCTGTTTTGTTCCAGATTATTGGCGTCGGTGGAGTCCGCCATCATTTGAAAACAACGGGAATGACTCGAACGCACTATTTACTTTTAAAGCACTATTAGTATCGTGACTTCATTTTAAAGCTTGTCTCATACTCCATCGGCCTTTTCTGGTTTATTTTTTATTTAATATCATCCACATGTCACTGAAACAGATTATGACGTCTTCCCTGGCCGCAAAACGAAGAACCCTAGTGAGAGTATGTAAGAAATGCTAGGAAAATTTCCAACCATTTCTCTGCGGTACTTACGGTAGAAGCCCCGTGCGTCCCGTCATGTGCATAAAGTTAACCTTTACCTGAACAAAGGAACTAGTAGGATAAAATGAAAATGCATTCACTCAAAGAACCTTCAACAAGGGATAAAAGAACTATTGAATTTCCTGTGAAGATTCCTTCTTCCTTCTTGTTACTAAACAACTCTCTCTTGCACAACAAATCTGTTTGGTCTAAGCCTTACAATTATATCACGGTGATGGTAATTAAGGAAACTGCAATATAGGACCATGGACCACGTATACAGCCCCTGTGAACCGAATCTAGCTTGGGCATGCATGTATCTTACTTGAATCTAATCAAATGATCCTTAAATAACCGAAAGATACTCCACTCAGTTTGATTAGCACCTTTTAGCTCTTATTGTTTGAAGACCAGTTCTTTCTTTTGTATTCCTGTCTGTCCTTTCCTGAAATCTTTGCATAGAGACTTTAATTGGCCAAACAGCTAAAAGCCATTTGGCACTTATTCATTAGCTTTTTCCATTTAAGTGAAATATGGGCAGGGAATTGAAATCGGATATGAAGACTGCATTTCTTCGAATCTGACGGGCATGCAGTGAAAAGACATCTTAGCCTGCAGTGTTACTACAGATAAGCATCGAACTTATCTTAATAATCAGACAAAGGTATTTAATACGTAATCAAATGTTATTTAGAGCTATATAATCATTAGTAGATTGTGCTTTTGAGTTTGGTTAAAATTCTTTTATAGCAAGAAAAACGTTAGGTTCGCAGTAGGCTAGGGTAGCAAAATAAGTTAGAACACGGCCAAGGTGGAACTGGATTGGTCACAGATATCGATGTTAGACAGAAAAATGTTCTTCAATTTTATAGATGGTAAACGTACGTTTTTACACATTCGAGAAATCGAAATCCTAAAAAAGGGAAATAAATCGAGCCCAGTTAACTGATTTAATTGCAGAAAATGAGATTATATGCAGGTTGAGATTTAAAACCTTATTGCTATAAGAGATCGCATTCTTGGAAAGCACCCTGTTTATATAAAAAGACATTCCTGATTTTAAAAATTACCTCTAATTGGCTGCAGCTGTACTGTACTGGGAAAAATATTTTGATAAACTTTGTATGTCTCGTTTTTTTAGACAAGTTTGGCTCAACTTGGTACCAGCAAGATGTGGCGCCAAAATAGTGTCATCATTTTGCTTTTTTGTTATCTGCTCGTGGTCGTGGCAGAAACGAACAACGCCGAAACCGAGGATAACGATCCTCGGGCGAGAAAGGGAGGAAGCATTGAGGAAGTGCGAGGCTCCGAAGAAGAACAAGAAAACGAAGCTGAAGGCCTCTCGGTGAAAACGCAAAGTAACGCAATGGAGAACGAAGATGACGGGGTGAGGGAATACGATCAGTATGAAGTAGTAAATAAAAAATTCAAGAGTGGGACCAGCTGTGCGGACGAAGACGAGCAGGCAGTGAAAGTGCAAGACCAAGAAGTAGTACGGCGAATGGTAGGGGCAGACGAAGAAGAACAGGGAGTTGGCTCGGCAGACGACGAAGACGTACTGGGGGTGGAAATGGAGGAAGAGGAAGAGGAAGTAGCAGAGGGAGACGAAAAACCCCTCACAGAAATCACAGTTCACATGCATACCGTTTGCCCGATTCATTTTGAGTGCTGTGCAGGCTTGGACAAGTTAAGTTTTGCTCGTGATATTTGTTTCCATTAACTTTCCTTACACGTTCTTATTCAAAGAATCCACATGTCAAGAAGGGTGATTCAGTGATTTTAATAATTAAGATATTATTTTAAGTGTACCGCCGGAGACATTGTAACTTTCCAAGGCGGCAAAAAGGCACCATTCATTTTTTTTTTCTTTTCCTTTTTCTTTTGCTGATAACAAATCTAGGTGCTGATAACAATTAGGTGTGATTCGCGTGTTGCAATAAAAACGTGAAATGNGGGGGGGGGGGGGGGGGGGGGGGGGGGGGGGGGGGGGGGGGGGGGGGGGGGAGGTGTGGGGGATTAAGGAATAAACAATTAATGATTTGAAATTTCTTTTTTCACGTCCTCACTTCCTTGGTTTGCTCATGCAGAATTAGCTTTTTGTCTCCCTGCGCCTAGCGTGTTCACAAGGTATTTAGAGGAGACTTGCTTTATTGACACGACGAACAAGTAATAACTGATTCTTATCATTATCATTAAATTAAACTTGTCAGCATTCAGTGATATGATCTGGCCAATCAGGGTGATATCAGCAGATTCTGATACTAGTGGGATGGTAGTCTCAACAGTTTTTCCTCCCCACCCCCTCCCCTATTATATTAACAGTTTTGCCTCAATTTCCTTATTCGCATTTCTTTTCGTATGCCTTTCACATGCCTTTTACAGTCATAACGTTTTTTTTAAGAATATTAAAGAAGAAATGGCTGGTCAATTTTATCCCTCGGGTTACTTTTATTGCGCTTTCTGTCTAGAACTACACTGAACAATTTGTTACAAGTAAAAATTTTCCGCACTTCTGTGTTCAATGATCACAGTAAATCTGGCGCACCTCCTTTATCGTCTCCTCTCAGGTCAACCTCCTGTCTAAAACTTTGAGAATAAGAACAACGTAATTTTACTATAAACATCATGTTTAGTATTTAGTTTATTGTTAAAAATCTAGGCTGTATCAAGCCATGATTATTGCTAAATTATTTTGGATAGGCAAATACTGCAAAACAACTCTTTCTAACTCTAAGCTTTCAGTTCATTTAAGAGTTCTGAAGCTTGATTTTAATTTATTACCAAAGGTTTCCTCTGTAGCTCATTTCAATGTAGTTTTTTGCCTTCCCGATTTGATATCATCGCCCTAACTAAACCTCAGCTGAGATGAGCGAGTTAATCACTGTTATAACAACATACATGTACCTTTCGTCCCACGTTTTTTGCGAACGTGCCAGTACCTACAACGTTTCCTGGTGGGGAATAGCGTGCCACTATGTAGGTTTCCCGTCCTCTTTTCTGAATAGCACATCCCAAATTAGTGGTGCCTTTCCAAACCACCTGCCAATAAAAACGTTTAATTTATTTAGCATTTCTTACAACACTGGTACGGTTACTTAAACAATTTACAACAGTAATGCTAACAACTACTTAACGGATACGTGTAAGGTCCCTTAAGCCTGGTTTTCACTAGCGACGCAAGCACAAGCGCAAGCAAGCACTTGTGGTTGCGCTTGTGCTTCCATCGCTAGTGAAAAACAGGCTTAACATTACAAAACAAAACAAAACAAAACTTATTATACAATACCTTTACGTACAAAGCTTACAATACAATACGATTACAGATGCTACTTACAATACTACAACTTGCATAACCTACTCTACCATGCAATACGATTTCTTATTCTACTTACATTACTTACAATATAATACGGTTTCTGATATTTTAGCACAAGTACAGTTTACGTGAGACCATAATCGACTGCTTTGTTTCATGCCTGTGGTTTAGATGTAATTGTTGTTAATTTCACCTTATTTACGCAGTTTAATATCTTTGCTAATATAAAGCTGTATGTGTAGTCTTGAAACAACTCAAGGCTTTTTGAAAGTTATGCCGGTAACATTGATCAGCTTTTGACTTCACATTTGGTATCATAAATTAAATAACTCAATGCTTGAGGGTTGAGGATTTGCCGAATGTGTGTTGCTTTTTAAAAAATATATATATTGCTCGCATTTCATATTGAACTGATAATTTTAGCGCATTTTCGGCTATACATGCAGCGAATTACGCATTCATCCACGCAGTTATTTATAATGCACTTCACCAACCAGACATCCTTTATTTATATTCATTTTTGTGTTAGCATAAATTATCGGTAGCTATTTTGCAAGCTGTTTCCAATACGATATGGTCAATAATTAATTTTGAAATGAGCGAAAAATACACAAGCTTACCTGCGTAAAATGGCCAGTGGCCATATTAAATCCAGGATTGTTGTAATTGTACAGTTTTTCTTCAGAGTACCTTAATTAAGTGGAGAACAGAAAACCAGTTTATGTATTATTTCAGGTGTATATATCCCGACATTCCTGAGATTTCAACTGCGACCCTCTGATCCCTTTTCAGGCTCAACATGTTTGTTCACTTTGATCTAAGATGTTAAAGGAGCTACGTCACGGTTTGTACATCTTGAAAAGTTTGGCCTAAGTTTTTCAAGTTCGTTTTTTCTAATCTGCGTCAATCTTCTCCATCCTTAACCATCCTTGTTCCTTTATGGTTTGTTATTACCTCTGTTGTTTTTCTATCTTAGTAAAGTACTATTTTCAGGTTTCGTTCAATTGAAAGGTAATTTTGTGCGTGGCCAAAATAATTCATAATACCATGACTGAGCTCCGTTAATGTACTAAGTGTTTCCAACTGACGCGTTATAATGGGTTATAAGTAGTTTATAAGTAATTTTTGTAACCAATTACGGAACAAAGAACGTTGCAAAAGCACAGTAACTGCATAGTTACTTTTGGCGAGCCAAACGAATGGTTCGGCTCTATGTTAGCAAATCATATAGGACTATGTTCACACTTGATGTCCGAGCATGGTGCCTGAGTACGATTCTCTCTGCTGAGCACAAATGTGAACAGACTTTTTTCCAACTACTCACACCAGAGAATGGGGAAAATTCCGTTGCCTGGTGCAATGTCTCGACCTTGTGCTCGGGCACTAAATGGTACCTGGGTACTTGAAGTACCTAGTGTCTAAACACAAAACTATTTTGTAAAAGCGCCTAGGCACCAGTGCTGGGGTACTAAATTAAATGTGAACGGCCTAAGATTAGTTAGATTATGCAAGGTACTTACCAAGCGTCCACTGCTTCTTTGTATGACGCGTCTCCACCGGATTTGAAAAGGTTTTCTCCTTCACCAGTGTTCTTTGCATGTTCAAACGTGTTTGTGGCTGCCAGATGATCAGCCCAGAACTGAGCATGTTGAGCCAATGTGGCATCCCAGACCAGCGCTGGCGCCCCATGCTGAGCACGCCAGTAATTGTGGGCTTCTAAGCAGGCGTTTTCCACATCTGTTTAGAAATAAATACATATCATTATCAGATTTCGCAACTAAATGTTAAGGATCAGCCAATAGGAAGGCACAGGAATCAGTCGTAGATGAATGGCATGAAAAATTAATTCTAGCGCTCAATATCGTCAAACTTGAGTTTAGTTGATATAGTCACGAAGGAAATGGAAAACAAAGCAATTTCGCAACATCAGCGAATAGTATGATACATTTATCAAACAAGAGACTCTGCCTTTCTGCCTATCCAGGGTGCGGAATATGTTTTTGTTTTGTTTTTTTTAGCGGGGCGAGGGATTGCATGAATTAATTTATTTCGGGTGGGTGTTTGCCGCTGGGACTCTGAAATCCTTACACTACAACACTTAGACTAGAAACCAAGAATCCCTTCCTTATCAGTTCCAGATCAGACTTGTTACTTTCAGGAAACTCTGTCACAGTTTAATTTGCAAGTGTTAATTCTCAATACCCTACCGTAGATTAAGCATCTCCGATTTCTCTACTCTGCCCTAAATCGTGCCTGTTGTAGTTGTATAGTACCTGTAGTATCTGTAGTATCTGTAGTATCTGTAGTATCTGAAGCACCCGTAGTATCTGTAGTAATTGTAATATCTGTAGCATCTGTAGTAGCTGTAGTAGCTGCAGTAGCTGTAGTATCTGTGATATCTTGAGAGTCATCCGGAGGTTTCTCTTGAGAGACATCCACAGATTTCTCTTGAGGGACATCCGCAGGTTTCTCTTGAGAGATATCCGCAGGTTTCTGTTGAGAGACTTCTGGAGGTTTCTCTTGAGAGACATCCATAGGTATCTCTTGAGAGACTTCCGCAGAGACATCCGCATGAGGTATTGGCTCTAGAATTAAGCGTCCTGGGGCGCCATCACAGCTGACTTGAAATGCAGCCAGGAGTAAACCAATAGCGAAGGCGTACATCGTTCTTGGTATATCCCTAATTTGAGAGAAAAAAACTTAGAACTTAGGTGATACATGACTGACCACGTTTTGCATAAACACTTCGGTATAACAGCAACAGCACTGAAATAGGCAAGCATCGTGCCTATGACCTTTTTAGGCGCACTTGTATGTGAAGTTGTTTTGACATCAATCGGTACCAGAATGACAAAAAGTGGCTCAATGTTTCAGCGTGCACTGTGCTTCCCCCGGATGGAGATTCTCGTCAGTTAAATGCGTATAAGAGAAATGCACGAAACATAATCAGGACAGGACAATAAAGATTATCCCTTAGAGCGAGTTCCATTTAAAGAACAAAAGTACATGTTGGCTGGAGAAGGCGAATAAAAAGACCTCGCTGCAAAGCTGTGTTTGTAACAGTGAGTTGCGTGCAACGTTGCATATCAAAACTTGATATAAAGACAGTCACTAAAGAAATTTGTGAATTGTAATTCATTCACATCTTTTCGGATCAACGACAAATAAAGACCGAAGAGAAATGAAGTAACCGAAGGCAAAATAAATCGAATATATAGAGAGAAAATTTACACAGGAGCACAAGGATATGAATTTTAATTTTAGAGGTAAAAACAATACTAATGATATTACGAACGAGTGCGGCGAGTGAGTAAATATTGTTGTTGCTGTTTTTTTTTTTAATTTTATTTTTTGACGCACTGACCGTTTGCACAAACAACAGTAAATCCAAAAAGCCTACACGAGAAAATCCGTGTCCGGCGTTCTTTTCTTGATGTGATATTTCTCCTGTTCTGTTGGCTTGCTGGTTCATTGATGAACCACGCAGTACTGAAATTTTCATGTACTGTTAGTGAACACTGAGGGACGCTTCCCCTACAAAGTGATCACTGGAGCATTACAATCCGGCTCTCGAGGAGGCATTCCTTTTTCCGGTAAAGAAGAATGGTAGGGTCTTGATCGCACTAGCCAGCTGGGTGCAAGAAAAGAAACCTTTCCAAAGAAATCTTTTTGTCCCCTTCCCAAGCCTTAAAATTTAGATATAAAGTGCATTAAAGGTGCAAATTCTAGTGTGCTAATCGAGCTGTGGAGCTACGTAATCCCGCAAATTGTTTCCTACAGCTCCGATTGTGAATCTACAAAGTAACTGATTACAACCTGATCCAAAATGGTTGTATTCTCTACTATAATGAACCACCATTTCTATTTGAAAGATCGGACAACATCAATCATCCTTGTTAGGAAAATAAATGAAACGGCCTGCATAGAAAATGGTTGGTTTATCCAATGTAATATGCATATCACAGTGCGTGCGCGCGGGACCCTTTGAAATTGTGACGGACGGTCTACGAAGTCATCATCTGTTGTAAATGGCGACTTGTTCAAGTGATATTTGTAAACCAAGAGAAACAGAGGATGATCCACTTAACTTGAAGATTTTAATGAACTCCGCACGACTGAGAAGGAAGACACTGTTAAAAACATCGTTTCGCAAGGTTTAGGTTTAGCTTTGAGTGGTAGAGCGAAACTAATGGGAAAGATCAATAATTTCATGACTAAAAAGATTTATATAAAAAACACACAATAAGAATAAGTAAACTTAAATAGCATGACGTATTCAGGATTGCGCTCGACTGTAGACATAAATTAAAAAACATCATTAAAGTTTTGGTTCTGAATTGTCCGACTTATTTCAATCAAAGCTTAGCCTTTACGCTCGCGAAATCCTAGAAAAGAACATACAAGTCTCTAGCATCGAGGTTCTACATCGTCAACGGCCGTTCTAAGCAAGACTATTAGTGAAGAATATATGTGATGTACAGATTTAATATTACTAACATATAAACATTATGCCGTTTTATGAATGATGACGCTACTCTAGAGTGTTTGCAGTGAGGTGAGGCTTTCAAACGATAAAGGGCGCGCGCTTAATACTCATACGTACTTCAATTCAGAAAAGCACCTTGAAATGGCAAAAAAGCATATCCCGCGAGCGCGTAATTATTTTGTTACGGCTTGGAAGTCAATTTATTTTATCGTTTCACAATTGAGACTCCCATTCAGTGGACAGTAGATGGATACATACATGAGGGAACCGCGAAACAAGATTAGTGTACGGCAATAACGAGTACTCAAGGTGATTTTGAAGCTTTTAAAAAAGCAAAAAAATTACATAGGCTGGGTAAGATGAACGTCTAGGCTGTTCATTAAAAGTTTGGCCGCGTAGCAGCTGATGTAGTAAAAAAATTTCTGAGAGGTCCGCACCATTCATATGTAGCTAAGACTAATCAAACAAGTGAAAGTGAATCGGTAACTAAGATTTGGAATATTAATTGGAATATTAGTTAGAGGCTGCAAGCTTTCTGTTTGGCTCACTTATTAAATAAGACCCAACAGAAGTGACTTACCTTTTGAAAGCGGTTAACTAGATTCATGTCCGCAGTCAGTGCTCGTAAACTTCACCACACTTTCAATCGGCCTGTGTAGTTTCGGTTAATTGCTGTACTCTACACTGGTATTTATGCATTTTTTACAAAATCACTGAACCAGTTCATATAATGGACTATTTTCTATACCCCCTACTAGTGTTATTATGTTAACGTAGGCATTGATTTAAAAGGGTCTCTGTTCCCAACTCTAATGATTTTTGGCTTTCCATCGCTTTTGGTTTTCTTTTCTTAGCTTGCTATTCCACACGTTTTGCTAAAATATTGGGCCAGTGGAGAACAATCCAGCTATTTTCACAAATTTGTAGTGAGCAGTTGTGATGGCATAGTTCGTTCTGGATTTCGCGATGGTGCGAAGATCAAGCTCCCTTACTGAGGGTGTGGGCGGAAGATGACGAGCGTTAGTACAAATTAAAGAGTGTGCTCCTGAGTATGATTATTTTTGGCATGGCATCGCTTTTTATTTTCTCTTCTTGGCTTGCTATTCTCCAAGTTGTACTAATATATTAGGACATTGGAGAATCATCCAGCTAATTTCTAAGACTTTGAGTGAACAGTTCCCGATTGATGACGTGATTCATTCTTAGTTTTGTAAAGATCCAAAAAACAAATACCGCTATTTTCAGAAATTATTTTGGTTAACGCCAGAATGTATCTTGGATATATAATAGAAACTTTTGCCGCCAATTCAAATTGACAACATTCCTTTTGTTACTCGGGTAAACACAAATATAGAAATTCGCTCAAACTGGCAGGGTGACGGTTTAATTAAAACTACTGACTGTTTTCCTATTTTGCTGCGCTTGACGAAAGTGAAATTCTTATGTAATAAGCGTGTTAGCTGTCAATTCGAAACAGAGGGTGCGGTCACCACTGCCCCATTGCTCTGAGAACAAACTAAAACTCTAAGAGAACAGTACAACTCAATGATGACTGCCCGCTTAAGTGAAAGAAATGTGTTGTTTCTTTTGAATTTCTTCTTGTTGGCTGTGTTTTTTACTAGTGATGTTCAATTTCTGGCGCGCAAAGTTTGGTCAATTTCCCATGCTGAAATATCTTTTACGGCGCATAGAATCAAACGGACTGTTAAGATATGGTCGGGCGTCGTTGATAATAAGGTTTTTTTTTAATAATCTAGCCCTATAAGTCGCCTTCTGTTGTAAATGACAAGTTTATTGCTGTTCAAAATAATGATAATCATAGAAATCTAGAGAAACGAACGAGAATCTTATAAGAAAGTCACGGCTGAAAAGATATGAAATAAAAAGTAAACTTAAAAAGCCGCGACTTATTTAATTGAGCTTCTCTTCAAACCTTACAAATCATGAAATATGGTTCTATTCGTTTGATTCCCTTCATTCAAAATTTTTAATGTCAGTAAGGTGCTGAAGAAAGAAAATCTTCCAGTTCGGACGTTTTGCATTGTCGCGGGCCGTCAGCAGTCAGCCATATCAGGAGCGCCTGAGCCCATATATTTTCAACTACAGTGACAATAGCATGATCATTCAAACGTGACGGCAGCAAGCTGGGACCCTCAAAAGCGAGTTCTCTTATTTAACGCTGTGGGCGGAAGATGACGAACAAGTCATGCTAACATAACACACTTCTGAGGAGTGTGTTTTCAAGTATGATGATTTTATGCATTGCATGGCTTTAGTTTTCTTTTCCGAGCTTGCCTTTCCCCATCTTCTGTTGACTTATTGTACCGCTGGAGCGCCCTCCGGCTAATTATTCAAACTTCTCATGAGCAGTTCTTGTCGGCATAATTCATTCTGGATTTCGCAGTAGCCCGAAGGACAAAATGCTAATTTCAGAAATTGTTATGGTTAACCCAAGAATGTCTCCCATCAAGAGATTATATCCTCTTGCTCCCATACATGACAAATTTAGGTCCACAATGTGATCTATTAGGCATTACATTCGTTTTCGAGAACTTTCCTTCCGTAACTCTAGAGAACAGGTGGAGGAGCCATCTTGCAGAGTATTTCTTCATTTTGTCATAGTTGACGAAGTAAATTCAGTGTAACGTGGGAGTAGGGTGTAAACTCCTTCGTGGAAAACGGACTGTAAAATCAGAGGTTTTGCTAAGCCCCGTTACAATGGATCACATCGTTTTGATTACGAGACTACAAAAGGAATACTTGTATAATACAACTCGATTCACAACCGCCGCTAAAAGACAAAATATACAATCTATGGTCGACAAAGGGCTATGAAGATGTTAATGATTGCTTTTAATTTAATTCTAATTGAATCCAACCTTTAAAGTTGTCCACCCTGCTGACAGCAGAAACAGGGATAATATCCAATCTGATATCACAGTCAATATGCCGTTCAGAGTTCTTGTTTGAAATAATTTCGCCCTACAAAGTCGTTTACTGAAGACTAGACCTGGCTTTCTATCCCCCGTATACGATAGAGTTGAATCAGTTCACTGTATATTGAGGAAGGTGGTGTATTGGGGGCGTAGCGAGGTCCTCGGAATTGTTTTGTCACATTCTTTTTTCAGTGACTAAACTTAAAGAACGGTTTGGGTTATTCTGTCATGTTCAGTCGAATTTTAGAATTTTCAGCCACCGATCTTTCTCCTATATTCTCCGGGATCACGGTGTTATATTGCAGTAGCAAGAAATCAAAATCACTAAGGTGGAGAAACTTTGGAATCTGTTAGTCATTATTTGTTCTAACTAGTTGATACTTTCACTCTTTGCGTTTGTTTCTTTATATCGCAAGGTAATCCATCACTTAAGAAACGAGAAAAAGCGTGGGATAAATTTATAAATAGTCTCTTGGTGGGAGATATTCTGACGTTAACCATAACAACTTCTGAAATTGGCTTTTTCTCCTTCGGGCTCCTGGGAAATTCAGAATGAATTATACTGTCCAGAGCTGCTCCCGAAAAGTTTAAGAAATAAGCTAGATAGTTCTCCAGTGGTACAATAATTCAACAGAAGATGGGGAAAGGCAAGTCCGGAAAAGAAAACTAAAGCGATGCAATGCCGAAAATCACCATACTTGAAAACACACTCTTCCGAAGTGCGTTATGTTGGCATGACTTGTTCGTCATCTTCCGCCCACAGCCTTAAGTAAGGGAACTCGCTTTTGAGGGTCCCAGCTTGCTGCCGTCACAGTAGAATAATCTTACTATTGTCACTGTAGTTGAAAATATATGGGCTCAGGCGCTCCTGATATGGCTGACTGCTGACGGCCCGCGACAATGCAAAACGTCCGAACTGGAAGATTTTCTTTCTTCAGCATCTTACTGACATTAAAAATTGTCAATGAATAGAATTAAACGAATAGAACCATATTGCACGATTTGTTAAGTCTGTAGTGAAGCCCAATTAAGGAAGTCGCGGCTTTTTAAGTTTACTTATTCTTATTGTATGATTATTCCATATCTTTTAGGCATGACTTGAAAGATTCTCGTTTCTTTATCAAGACTTCTATGATTATCATTTGAACAACAATAAACTTGTCAGCTCGTCATTTGTAACAAAAGACCACTTTTAGTGCTGTGCTAGATTATTAAAAAAAACCCTCAATGTCAACGAAGGCCAACCATATCTTCACAGTCCGTTCAATTCTGTGTACCGTAAAAGATATTTCAGTATGGGAAATTGACAGCTAACACGCTCATTACCCAGAATTTCACTTTCGTCAAGCGAGGCAACATAGATAAACAGTCGGTAATTTTAAACAGTCACCCTGCTAGTTTGAGAGAAGTTCTAAAGATTTCTGTTTACTAGAGTTACGAAAGGAATTTTCTCAATTTGAATTGGCGGCAAAATTTTCTATTATACATCCGAGATAACATTCTGGCGTTAACCAAAACATTTTCTGAAAATAGCTGCATTTGTTTTTGGGACCTATACAAAACTAATAATCAAACACGTAATCAATCGGGAACTGTTCACTCAAAGGTTTAGAAATTAGCTGGATGATTCTCCAATGGCCTAATATATTAGTACAAGGTGGGGAATAGCAAGCCAAGAAGAGAAAACCAAAAGCGAAGCGAAGCCAAAAATAGTCACACTCAAAAGCATAATCTTCTGTACTACCGTTTATGTTATCCTGAAACGCTCATCATCTTCCGCCCACACCCTCGGTAAGGGAGCTTGATCTTCGCACCTTAGCGAAATCCAGAACAAACTATGCCATCAAAACGGCTCACTAAAAATTTGTGAAAATAGCTGGATTGTTCTCCACTGGCCCAATATTTTAGCAAAACGTGTGGAATAGCAGACTAAGAAAAGAAAACAAAAAGTGATGGAAAGCCAAAAATCATTAGAGTTGGGGACAGAGCTCCTTTTAAATCAATGCCTACGTTGACGAAATAACACAGGTAGGGGTTATGGAAAATAGTCCATTGTATGAACTGGTTCAGTGATTTTGTAATACATAAATACCGGCGTGGAGAACAGCAACGTACTAATCCAAACTACACAGGCCGATTCAAGGTTTGGTGAAGTTTACGTGCACTGACTAGGGACATACATCTGGTTGCAGTTTCAAAAGGTAAGTCACTTCTCTTGGGCCTTATTTAGTAAGTGAGCCAAACAGAAAGCTTCTAGACACTAAGCGCTCATTTTTTGTCCAGTCAAGTTCAATTGCAAATCCCAGGTACTGAATTACTTTTACTTGTTAGATTGGTCTTACCTACATATGAATGGTGCAGACCTTTCAGAAATGTCTTTACTTTAAGTGCTACGCGGCCAAACTTTCAAAGAACAACGAAGACGTTCGTTTTTCCCAGCTAGTAGATAGGTGTTTTTGGCTTTTCTACTGAAAAACTTAAAAATCACGAGCACTAGTCATTGCCGTGCACTGATTTTGTTTAATGTGTTCCTCGTGTGCAAGTGTCCGTCCGACAACGGTTGTCCACTGTATGGGATTGTCGACTTCCAAACCGTAAATAATTACCTGCTGGTTTGATGTGCACTTTTGGAAACTTTTTGCCATTCCAAGTTGCTTTCTGAAGTGCATATAAGTATAAAGCGCGCGCCCTTTATCGTTTGAGAGCCTCGCCTCACTGCAAACACTTCTCAGTAGCAATATTATTCATTAATCGTTACTTTGTTTATCGGTTAAGTCTGTACATCACATATATTCCTCAACAATATTCTTGCTTGCAACAGCCGTTTGACGATGCAGAACCTCGATACCAGAGGCTTGTATTTCTTTTATGATTTCGCAAGCATAAAAACTAAACTTTGATGGAAAAAAGTTGGACAATTTAGAACGAAAGCTGCAATGATGTTTTTTTATGTCTGCAGTCGAGCGCAATCCTGAATACGTCATGCTACTTAAGTTTGCTTATTCCTATTGTATGGTTTTTTATATAAATCTTTCTTTTTAGTCATCAATTTATTTATTTTTGTCATTAGTTTCGCTCTACTACTCATAGCTAAACCTAAACCTTGCGAAACGAGGTTGTTAACTGTGACTTGCTTCTCAATTATACGGAGTTCATTAAAATCCACAGTTAAAGATTATACTGCATGCTAATTGGATCGTCCTCTGTTTCTCTTGGTTTACAAATATCACTTGAACAAGTCGCTATTTACAACAGATGATGACTCTGTAGATCGTCTGTCTCAATTTCAAAGGGTCCCACCGCGCACACTGTGATATGCATATTACATTGGATAAACCAACCATTTTCTACGCAGGCCGTTTCATTGTATTTTCCTAACAAGAATGATTGATGTTGTCCGATCTTTCAAATAGAAATGGTGTTTCACTATGGTAGAGACGGAATGCAGCCAGGCTAATCGGGTTGTAATATTTAATTTGAACATTTGTAATCAGAGCTGCAGGGAACAATTCGTGGGACCACGCAGTTCCACAGCCCGATTATAACGCTTCAATTTACACCTTTAATGCATTTTATATCAAACTTTTAAGCGTGGAAAAAGGCTAGGGACGAAACCTTTGGAAAAACTTCTTTTCTTGCAACCAGTCGACTAGAGCGACTCTAAATACGCTTCCCGTACGCTTACCAGAGAAAGGAATGTGTCGTCAGGAGCGATTGTAATGCTCTAGTGATCACTTTGAAGGGAAAACGTCCCTCAGTGTTCACTAAAAGTACATGAAAATTTACTGCATGGTTCATCAATGAAACAACTGCCCAACAGAACGGGAGGAAAATCACATCAAGAAAAAAAAACACAAGACATTATTTCGTAGAATTTATAAAGGCAGTGCATGAATTCAAATGTTAATTTTCAGACTGAGATATTAAATAAAGAACACTGCAGTGGGCGAAATACACAGGCTAATTATTAGTGAAGTTTACAGCGTATGCGGTCTCTTGTCTCTATATATTCGATTTATTTTGCCTTCAGATGCTTCATTTGTCCTGGCTCTATTTTTAATTAGGGGCTGTCTTTTCATCACGTTTTGATATGCAACGTTGCACGCCACTAACTATTAAAAGAACAGCTTTGCAGCAACGTCTTAATGTTCGCCTTCTCCAGCTAACGCCTGTATAGTTTTGTCTTTCAAATGCAACTGACTGTAAAGGAAAATCTGTCCTGACTGTGTGTCGTACATTTCTCGTGTACGCATTTAACTGTTCCCGACGCGAGTCTCCATTCCAAGGGAAGCACCATGCATGCTGAAATATTGAATCAGGTTTTGTCATTCTGGTACCGATTGTTGTCAAAACAACCTGTCAAAACAACTTGACATACCAGTGCGCCTAAAAAGGCCAGAGCCACGATACATGCCTATTTCAGTGTTATTGCTGTTATTATATACCGAAGTGCTCATGTAAAACGTGGTCAGTCATGTATCACCTAAGTTCTAAGTTTATTTTTCGCAAAATTAGAGATTTACCAAGAACGATGTACGCCTTCGCTATTGGTTTACTCCTGGTTGCATTTCAAGTCAGCTGTGATGGCGCCCCAGGACGCTTAATTCTAGAGCCAATACCTCATGCGGATGTCTCTGCGGAAGTCTCTCAAGAGATACCTGTGGATGTCTCTCAAGAGAAACCTCCGGAAGTCTCTCAAGAGAAACATTTGGAAAAAAGAGCTGGTAAGTCACCTCCACAATAAACTGAACAAAAAAAAAAACCAATCTTGTGGATGTTTAGATGGTTTTACTGTTAACTTCTGCGTAACATATATCAGGGTTGTTTTCCTTTGTCATAAGAAAATATCAAGGACACTGTGATGACTACACATTCCTGGGGAATTACACTATTTGTAATGTAGTACATGTATGAGTTGTTTAAACATTTTCACTCAACATTGTGTTAAAGCAAGCAAGTTTGTTTCCAGAAAAGGAATTACCATTATCCCAGTTCCAAAATTGTTTCCTGTTGAAAGTTTGTTCACATTATTGGAAAAATTTATTAAATATATCCAATTTGCAGCTTGCACCGACAAACAAGATCGTGGAAATTGTGAATACTGGAAGAAGAGCGGTTTCTGTCATCGAAGTAGCAAATACTATGCGTATATGCGAGACCACTGCTACGCCACCTGTACTAACTGCAGAAGTACTGGTAAGTAAAATACATGACATATTGTGAATATTCAAATAATGAGTTAGATCCTGTTTTTAGCCCATTGCTTACATTAAACAAATTCAAATATATCCAATTTGCAGGGTGTCGCGCAGACAAACAAGATCGTGGAAATTGTCAGTATTGGAAGAATAGAGGTTTCTGTGATCGAAGTAGCCAATACTATGCGTATATGCAAGACCACTGCTACGCCACCTGTACTAACTGCAACTGTAAGTAAAAATAATACACGATATAATACAGTGAATATCTAAATCATGCAGTTTTTAGCATACTGCGATGATACAGTACTTTGCCACTGGTTCGCACCTTCAGGTAGTAATAAGTCGTTAACTGTTTTGATTCACAAACAACTTCTGCTGTCTTTTGCGCTACACTACAGTTAATTGATATTCCCAGGTTTCCATTAAAATATTTCTCCCAACAAATTGCGCTCAGTGTGTGACGGACAAATTCCCGGAACTCTGTCTTCCCATGTGTAAGATGTTAAAAGTATGCACAACTGAGTGATTGAACCAGGCTTAAATACTTTTGTCTAAATTCAATGTTTTGATCCCGGTTGTGTGGAAGGTGATTTGCTCCTTATGAGAAGTTGAGTGTTCTTAAAATTTAATCAGCTAAAATAGAGTTGATTTGTGTTTCAGCACAATCCACTGCAGCCAATCAAGGTGAGTTCGTAACTAAGATATCAACCACGAGAGATCCTATTATAATTATACTACATTTCTAAACACCGTGAAGAGAGTTGACACTATGGCACTCACCGGAGTACTTTGGACCAGTCTTGACGTGTTTGTAAACGTCACAAGTGTTTCAAAGATATTCTCAAACGATCGAAAGGAGAAAAAGGAGGAATAAAGACGTGAAAATCTCCTAAGATCATAATCCAAACACCCCCACGATCACGATTTTCTTTGTTTAAACGCAATGAATTACTTATAAGTTTAAAATTACACGCTCTAGTTGCTGGTCAGCGGGCTAACATTCGACAAACGATCCAATTTGCTTCTGCGATGAATTTACCTTTGTCAGCTTCAAGTTGATATGTATATAGTAAATGGTTTTAACCCAGGAGTATCAGTCATAGTGCGTATAGTGCCGGTGATCGTCCGGGTGTGGATAGCTCTAAAAAGTCAGCAACAACAATTATTTTCAGGACTACTCTCAGCAGGCCAATCACACTGTACTATTCAGGCTGAAAGTTATCTAAGCAAGCTTTTAACTTGACCGTTGAAAAATCCTTTGATGACATACCGGCTAAGGGAAGCCAACGATTTTGAATTTAATTTCTAGACATCACTCTTTTTATTTTAATTTCTGAGATATTCCAGTTATAAAAACCATAATACAAGTGTACATGCATGTAGTTATGATTTTTAAAACCACTGACATTGTTGCCGGTGTTATACAAACCTTTTAAATTACACGAGCTTTGTGGATGCAATTATATTTACAGAATATATTAAAAAGGTAGCCAGGAATCTGTACAAATCAGAATTTTCTCTTACATTGAACAAATTTAAATACATCCAATTTGCAGGGTGTCGTGCAGACAAACAAGATCGTGGAAATTGTCAGTACTGGAAGAATAGAGGATTCTGTGATCGAAGTAGCCAATACTATGCGTATATGCAAGACCACTGCTACGCCACCTGTACTAACTGCAACTGTAAGTAAAAATAATACACGATATAATACAGTGAATATCTAAATCATGCAGTTTTTAGCATACTGCGATGATACAGTACTTTGCCACTGGTTCGCACCTTCAGGTAGTAATAAGTCGTTAACTGTTTTGATTCACAAACAACTTCTGCTGTCTTTTGCGCTACACTACAGTTAATTGATATTCCCAGGTTTCCATTAAAATATTTCTCCCAACAAATTGCGCTCAGTGTGTGACGGACAAATTCCCGGAACTCTGTCTTCCCATGTGTAAGATGTTAAAAGTATGCACAACTGAGTGATTGAACCAGGCTTAAATACTTTTGTCTAAATTCAATGTTTTGATCCCGGTTGTGTGGAAGGTGATTTGCTCCTTATGAGAAGTTGAGTGTTCTTAAAATTTAATCAGCTAAAATAGAGTTGATTTGTGTTTCAGCACAATCCACTGCAGCCAATCAAGGTGAGTTCGTAACTAAGATATCAACCACGAGAGATCCTATTATAATTATACTACATTTCTAAACACCGTGAAGAGAGTTGACACTATGGCACTCACCGGAGTACTTTGGACCAGTCTTGACGTGTTTGTAAACGTCACAAGTGTTTCAAAGATATTCTCAAACGATCGAAAGGAGAAAAAGGAGGAATAAAGACGTGAAAATCTCCTAAGATCATAATCCAAACACCCCCACGATCACGATTTTCTTTGTTTAAACGCAATGAATTACTTATAAGTTTAAAATTACACGCTCTAGTTGCTGGTCAGCGGGCTAACATTCGACAAACGATCCAATTTGCTTCTGCGATGAATTTACCTTTGTCAGCTTCAAGTTGATATGTATATAGTAAATGGTTTTAACCCAGGAGTATCAGTCATAGTGCGTATAGTGCCGGTGATCGTCCGGGTGTGGATAGCTCTAAAAAGTCAGCAACAACAATTATTTTCAGGACTACTCTCAGCAGGCCAATCACACTGTACTATTCAGGCTGAAAGTTATCTAAGCAAGCTTTTAACTTGACCGTTGAAAAATCCTTTGATGACATACCGGCTAAGGGAAGCCAACGATTTTGAATTTAATTTCTAGACATCACTCTTTTTATTTTAATTTCTGAGATATTCCAGTTATAAAAACCATAATACAAGTGTACATGCATGTAGTTATGATTTTTAAAACCACTGACATTGTTGCCGGTGTTATACAAACCTTTTAAATTACACGAGCTTTGTGGATGCAATTATATTTACAGAATATATTAAAAAGGTAGCCAGGAATCTGTACAAATCAGAATTTTCTCTTACATTGAACAAATTTAAATACATCCAATTTGCAGGGTGTCGTGCAGACAAACAAGATCGTGGAAATTGTCAGTACTGGAAGAATAGAGGATTCTGTGATCGAAGTAGCCAATACTATGCGTATATGCAAGACCACTGCTACGCCACCTGTACTAACTGCAACTGTAAGTAAAAATAATACACGATATAATACAGTGAATATCTAAATCATGCAGTTTTTAGCATACTGCGATGATACAGTACTTTGCCACTGGTTCGCACCTTCAGGTAGTAATAAGTCGTTAACTGTTTTGATTCACAAACAACTTCTGCTGTCTTTTGCGCTACACTACAGTTAATTGATATTCCCAGGTTTCCATTAAAATATTTCTCCCAACAAATTGCGCTCAGTGTGTGACGGACAAATTCCCGGAACTCTGTCTTCCCATGTGTAAGATGTTAAAAGTATGCACAACTGAGTGATTGAACCAGGCTTAAATACTTTTGTCTAAATTCAATGTTTTGATCCCGGTTGTGTGGAAGGTGATTTGCTCCTTATGAGAAGTTGAGTGTTCTTAAAATTTAATCAGCTAAAATAGAGTTGATTTGTGTTTCAGCACAATCCACTGCAGCCAATCAAGGTGAGTTCGTAACTAAGATATCAACCACGAGAGATCCTATTATAATTATACTACATTTCTAAACACCGTGAAGAGAGTTGACACTATGGCACTCACCGGAGTACTTTGGACCAGTCTTGACGTGTTTGTAAACGTCACAAGTGTTTCAAAGATATTCTCAAACGATCGAAAGGAGAAAAAGGAGGAATAAAGACGTGAAAATCTCCTAAGATCATAATCCAAACACCCCCACGATCACGATTTTCTTTGTTTAAACGCAATGAATTACTTATAAGTTTAAAATTACACGCTCTAGTTGCTGGTCAGCGGGCTAACATTCGACAAACGATCCAATTTGCTTCTGCGATGAATTTACCTTTGTCAGCTTCAAGTTGATATGTATATAGTAAATGGTTTTAACCCAGGAGTATCAGTCATAGTGCGTATAGTGCCGGTGATCGTCCGGGTGTGGATAGCTCTAAAAAGTCAGCAACAACAATTATTTTCAGGACTACTCTCAGCAGGCCAATCACACTGTACTATTCAGGCTGAAAGTTATCTAAGCAAGCTTTTAACTTGACCGTTGAAAAATCCTTTGATGACATACCGGCTAAGGGAAGCCAACGATTTTGAATTTAATTTCTAGACATCACTCTTTTTATTTTAATTTCTGAGATATTCCAGTTATAAAAACCATAATACAAGTGTACATGCATGTAGTTATGATTTTTAAAACCACTGACATTGTTGCCGGTGTTATACAAACCTTTTAAATTACACGAGCTTTGTGGATGCAATTATATTTACAGAATATATTAAAAAGGTAGCCAGGAATCTGTACAAATCAGAATTTTCTCTTACATTGAACAAATTTAAATACATCCAATTTGCAGGGTGTCGTGCAGACAAACAAGATCGTGGAAATTGTCAGTACTGGAAGAATAGAGGATTCTGTGATCGAAGTAGCCAATACTATGCGTATATGCAAGACCACTGCTACGCCACCTGTACTAACTGCAACTGTAAGTAAAAATAATACACGATATAATACAGTGAATATCTAAATCATGCAGTTTTTAGCATACTGCGATGATACAGTACTTTGCCACTGGTTCGCACCTTCAGGTAGTAATAAGTCGTTAACTGTTTTGATTCACAAACAACTTCTGCTGTCTTTTGCGCTACACTACAGTTAATTGATATTCCCAGGTTTCCATTAAAATATTTCTCCCAACAAATTGCGCTCAGTGTGTGACGGACAAATTCCCGGAACTCTGTCTTCCCATGTGTAAGATGTTAAAAGTATGCACAACTGAGTGATTGAACCAGGCTTAAATACTTTTGTCTAAATTCAATGTTTTGATCCCGGTTGTGTGGAAGGTGATTTGCTCCTTATGAGAAGTTGAGTGTTCTTAAAATTTAATCAGCTAAAATAGAGTTGATTTGTGTTTCAGCACAATCCACTGCAGCCAATCAAGGTGAGTTCGTAACTAAGATATCAACCACGAGAGATCCTATTATAATTATACTACATTTCTAAACACCGTGAAGAGAGTTGACACTATGGCACTCACCGGAGTACTTTGGACCAGTCTTGACGTGTTTGTAAACGTCACAAGTGTTTCAAAGATATTCTCAAACGATCGAAAGGAGAAAAAGGAGGAATAAAGACGTGAAAATCTCCTAAGATCATAATCCAAACACCCCCACGATCACGATTTTCTTTGTTTAAACGCAATGAATTACTTATAAGTTTAAAATTACACGCTCTAGTTGCTGGTCAGCGGGCTAACATTCGACAAACGATCCAATTTGCTTCTGCGATGAATTTACCTTTGTCAGCTTCAAGTTGATATGTATATAGTAAATGGTTTTAACCCAGGAGTATCAGTCATAGTGCGTATAGTGCCGGTGATCGTCCGGGTGTGGATAGCTCTAAAAAGTCAGCAACAACAATTATTTTCAGGACTACTCTCAGCAGGCCAATCACACTGTACTATTCAGGCTGAAAGTTATCTAAGCAAGCTTTTNTACCAAGAACGATGTACGCCTTCGCTATTGGTTTACTCCTGGTTGCATTTCAAGTCAGCTGTGATGGCGCCCCAGGACGCTTAATTCTAGAGCCAATACCTCATGCGGATGTCTCTGCGGAAGTCTCTCAAGAGATACCTGTGGATGTCTCTCAAGAGAAACCTCCGGAAGTCTCTCAAGAGAAACATTTGGAAAAAAGAGCTGGTAAGTCACCTCCACAATAAACTGAACAAAAAAAAAAACCAATCTTGTGGATGTTTAGATGGTTTTACTGTTAACTTCTGCGTAACATATATCAGGGTTGTTTTCCTTTGTCATAAGAAAATATCAAGGACACTGTGATGACTACACATTCCTGGGGAATTACACTATTTGTAATGTAGTACATGTATGAGTTGTTTAAACATTTTCACTCAACATTGTGTTAAAGCAAGCAAGTTTGTTTCCAGAAAAGGAATTACCATTATCCCAGTTCCAAAATTGTTTCCTGTTGAAAGTTTGTTCACATTATTGGAAAAATTTATTAAATATATCCAATTTGCAGCTTGCACCGACAAACAAGATCGTGGAAATTGTGAATACTGGAAGAAGAGCGGTTTCTGTCATCGAAGTAGCAAATACTATGCGTATATGCGAGACCACTGCTACGCCACCTGTACTAACTGCAGAAGTACTGGTAAGTAAAATACATGACATATTGTGAATATTCAAATAATGAGTTAGATCCTGTTTTTAGCCCATTGCTTACATTAAACAAATTCAAATATATCCAATTTGCAGGGTGTCGCGCAGACAAACAAGATCGTGGAAATTGTCAGTATTGGAAGAATAGAGGTTTCTGTGATCGAAGTAGCCAATACTATGCGTATATGCAAGACCACTGCTACGCCACCTGTACTAACTGCAACTGTAAGTAAAAATAATACACGATATAATACAGTGAATATCTAAATCATGCAGTTTTTAGCATACTGCGATGATACAGTACTTTGCCACTGGTTCGCACCTTCAGGTAGTAATAAGTCGTTAACTGTTTTGATTCACAAACAACTTCTGCTGTCTTTTGCGCTACACTACAGTTAATTGATATTCCCAGGTTTCCATTAAAATATTTCTCCCAACAAATTGCGCTCAGTGTGTGACGGACAAATTCCCGGAACTCTGTCTTCCCATGTGTAAGATGTTAAAAGTATGCACAACTGAGTGATTGAACCAGGCTTAAATACTTTTGTCTAAATTCAATGTTTTGATCCCGGTTGTGTGGAAGGTGATTTGCTCCTTATGAGAAGTTGAGTGTTCTTAAAATTTAATCAGCTAAAATAGAGTTGATTTGTGTTTCAGCACAATCCACTGCAGCCAATCAAGGTGAGTTCGTAACTAAGATATCAACCACGAGAGATCCTATTATAATTATACTACATTTCTAAACACCGTGAAGAGAGTTGACACTATGGCACTCACCGGAGTACTTTGGACCAGTCTTGACGTGTTTGTAAACGTCACAAGTGTTTCAAAGATATTCTCAAACGATCGAAAGGAGAAAAAGGAGGAATAAAGACGTGAAAATCTCCTAAGATCATAATCCAAACACCCCCACGATCACGATTTTCTTTGTTTAAACGCAATGAATTACTTATAAGTTTAAAATTACACGCTCTAGTTGCTGGTCAGCGGGCTAACATTCGACAAACGATCCAATTTGCTTCTGCGATGAATTTACCTTTGTCAGCTTCAAGTTGATATGTATATAGTAAATGGTTTTAACCCAGGAGTATCAGTCATAGTGCGTATAGTGCCGGTGATCGTCCGGGTGTGGATAGCTCTAAAAAGTCAGCAACAACAATTATTTTCAGGACTACTCTCAGCAGGCCAATCACACTGTACTATTCAGGCTGAAAGTTATCTAAGCAAGCTTTTAACTTGACCGTTGAAAAATCCTTTGATGACATACCGGCTAAGGGAAGCCAACGATTTTGAATTTAATTTCTAGACATCACTCTTTTTATTTTAATTTCTGAGATATTCCAGTTATAAAAACCATAATACAAGTGTACATGCATGTAGTTATGATTTTTAAAACCACTGACATTGTTGCCGGTGTTATACAAACCTTTTAAATTACACGAGCTTTGTGGATGCAATTATATTTACAGAATATATTAAAAAGGTAGCCAGGAATCTGTACAAATCAGAATTTTCTCTTACATTGAACAAATTTAAATACATCCAATTTGCAGGGTGTCGTGCAGACAAACAAGATCGTGGAAATTGTCAGTACTGGAAGAATAGAGGATTCTGTGATCGAAGTAGCCAATACTATGCGTATATGCAAGACCACTGCTACGCCACCTGTACTAACTGCAACTGTAAGTAAAAATAATACACGATATAATACAGTGAATATCTAAATCATGCAGTTTTTAGCATACTGCGATGATACAGTACTTTGCCACTGGTTCGCACCTTCAGGTAGTAATAAGTCGTTAACTGTTTTGATTCACAAACAACTTCTGCTGTCTTTTGCGCTACACTACAGTTAATTGATATTCCCAGGTTTCCATTAAAATATTTCTCCCAACAAATTGCGCTCAGTGTGTGACGGACAAATTCCCGGAACTCTGTCTTCCCATGTGTAAGATGTTAAAAGTATGCACAACTGAGTGATTGAACCAGGCTTAAATACTTTTGTCTAAATTCAATGTTTTGATCCCGGTTGTGTGGAAGGTGATTTGCTCCTTATGAGAAGTTGAGTGTTCTTAAAATTTAATCAGCTAAAATAGAGTTGATTTGTGTTTCAGCACAATCCACTGCAGCCAATCAAGGTGAGTTCGTAACTAAGATATCAACCACGAGAGATCCTATTATAATTATACTACATTTCTAAACACCGTGAAGAGAGTTGACACTATGGCACTCACCGGAGTACTTTGGACCAGTCTTGACGTGTTTGTAAACGTCACAAGTGTTTCAAAGATATTCTCAAACGATCGAAAGGAGAAAAAGGAGGAATAAAGACGTGAAAATCTCCTAAGATCATAATCCAAACACCCCCACGATCACGATTTTCTTTGTTTAAACGCAATGAATTACTTATAAGTTTAAAATTACACGCTCTAGTTGCTGGTCAGCGGGCTAACATTCGACAAACGATCCAATTTGCTTCTGCGATGAATTTACCTTTGTCAGCTTCAAGTTGATATGTATATAGTAAATGGTTTTAACCCAGGAGTATCAGTCATAGTGCGTATAGTGCCGGTGATCGTCCGGGTGTGGATAGCTCTAAAAAGTCAGCAACAACAATTATTTTCAGGACTACTCTCAGCAGGCCAATCACACTGTACTATTCAGGCTGAAAGTTATCTAAGCAAGCTTTTAACTTGACCGTTGAAAAATCCTTTGATGACATACCGGCTAAGGGAAGCCAACGATTTTGAATTTAATTTCTAGACATCACTCTTTTTATTTTAATTTCTGAGATATTCCAGTTATAAAAACCATAATACAAGTGTACATGCATGTAGTTATGATTTTTAAAACCACTGACATTGTTGCCGGTGTTATACAAACCTTTTAAATTACACGAGCTTTGTGGATGCAATTATATTTACAGAATATATTAAAAAGGTAGCCAGGAATCTGTACAAATCAGAATTTTCTCTTACATTGAACAAATTTAAATACATCCAATTTGCAGGGTGTCGTGCAGACAAACAAGATCGTGGAAATTGTCAGTACTGGAAGAATAGAGGATTCTGTGATCGAAGTAGCCAATACTATGCGTATATGCAAGACCACTGCTACGCCACCTGTACTAACTGCAACTGTAAGTAAAAATAATACACGATATAATACAGTGAATATCTAAATCATGCAGTTTTTAGCATACTGCGATGATACAGTACTTTGCCACTGGTTCGCACCTTCAGGTAGTAATAAGTCGTTAACTGTTTTGATTCACAAACAACTTCTGCTGTCTTTTGCGCTACACTACAGTTAATTGATATTCCCAGGTTTCCATTAAAATATTTCTCCCAACAAATTGCGCTCAGTGTGTGACGGACAAATTCCCGGAACTCTGTCTTCCCATGTGTAAGATGTTAAAAGTATGCACAACTGAGTGATTGAACCAGGCTTAAATACTTTTGTCTAAATTCAATGTTTTGATCCCGGTTGTGTGGAAGGTGATTTGCTCCTTATGAGAAGTTGAGTGTTCTTAAAATTTAATCAGCTAAAATAGAGTTGATTTGTGTTTCAGCACAATCCACTGCAGCCAATCAAGGTGAGTTCGTAACTAAGATATCAACCACGAGAGATCCTATTATAATTATACTACATTTCTAAACACCGTGAAGAGAGTTGACACTATGGCACTCACCGGAGTACTTTGGACCAGTCTTGACGTGTTTGTAAACGTCACAAGTGTTTCAAAGATATTCTCAAACGATCGAAAGGAGAAAAAGGAGGAATAAAGACGTGAAAATCTCCTAAGATCATAATCCAAACACCCCCACGATCACGATTTTCTTTGTTTAAACGCAATGAATTACTTATAAGTTTAAAATTACACGCTCTAGTTGCTGGTCAGCGGGCTAACATTCGACAAACGATCCAATTTGCTTCTGCGATGAATTTACCTTTGTCAGCTTCAAGTTGATATGTATATAGTAAATGGTTTTAACCCAGGAGTATCAGTCATAGTGCGTATAGTGCCGGTGATCGTCCGGGTGTGGATAGCTCTAAAAAGTCAGCAACAACAATTATTTTCAGGACTACTCTCAGCAGGCCAATCACACTGTACTATTCAGGCTGAAAGTTATCTAAGCAAGCTTTTAACTTGACCGTTGAAAAATCCTTTGATGACATACCGGCTAAGGGAAGCCAACGATTTTGAATTTAATTTCTAGACATCACTCTTTTTATTTTAATTTCTGAGATATTCCAGTTATAAAAACCATAATACAAGTGTACATGCATGTAGTTATGATTTTTAAAACCACTGACATTGTTGCCGGTGTTATACAAACCTTTTAAATTACACGAGCTTTGTGGATGCAATTATATTTACAGAATATATTAAAAAGGTAGCCAGGAATCTGTACAAATCAGAATTTTCTCTTACATTGAACAAATTTAAATACATCCAATTTGCAGGGTGTCGTGCAGACAAACAAGATCGTGGAAATTGTCAGTACTGGAAGAATAGAGGATTCTGTGATCGAAGTAGCCAATACTATGCGTATATGCAAGACCACTGCTACGCCACCTGTACTAACTGCAACTGTAAGTACAATACATGATATACAACAGTGAATATTTAAATCATGCAGTTTTTAGTATACTGCGATGATCCAGTATTTTGCCACTGGTTCGCACCTTCAGGTAGTAGTAAGTCCTTAACTGTTTCGATTCACAAACAACTTCTGCTGTCTTTTGCAACCATGCCACAGCTAACTGATATTCCCAGGTTTCCATTATGATATTTCTCCCAATAAATTGTGCTCAGTGTGCGATGGACTTTAAAAAAAATCGCGGTACTCTGTCGTCCAATGTGTGAGATGTTAAAAGTATGCACAACTGAGTCATTGAACCAGGCTTAAATACTTTTGTCTAAATTCAATGTTTTGAACCCGGTTGTGTGAAGGGTGATTTGCACCTTTTCAGAAGTTGAGTGTCCTAAAAAATTAGTCAGCTAAAATAGAGTTGTTATTTGTGTTTCAGCGCAATCCACTACAGCCAATCAAGGTGAGTTCGTAAATAATGAGTCAACCACGACAGACTGCATTATACTAAATGTACATGTAACTCCAAACACCGAGAAGAGAGTTGACACTATGGCACTCAGCGGAGTACTTTTGACCAGCCTTGATGTATTCGTAAATGTCGCAAGTGTTTGAAGTATATTCTCAAACGATCGAAAGGATTAAACAGAGGAATAAAAACGTGAAAATCTACTAAGATAATAATCCAAACAACCCCACGATCACGATTTTCTTTATTTAATTATAACGCAAGGAATTACTAATCAGTTTGAGAATTAAACCCCCGGCCCTAGTTACTAGTCATGAGTGGGCTAACATTCCACACCTAATCCGGCAATTCAAATTTGCTTCAGCGGCGAATTTACCTTTATCAACTTTAAGTTAATATAACAGCACTATAACATAGTAAATGGTTTGAGCCTATGAGTATCAGTAGCTCTTATAGTGTGATCATCCGGATGAGAGTGGTTCTAAAAAAGTGACCAACAACAGTTCTTTTCAGAACTACAATCGGCTTCTGCAGGCCAATCACACTGTACTTGCTATTCAGGCTGATAGTAGGCTAGGCAAGCTTTCAACTTGACCGTTGAAAAATTCCTTGACGACGATTTTGAATTCAATTTCTAAAACATCACACTTTTTATTTTAAGTTTTAAAATATTCCAGTTATAAAAACCATAATGCAAGTGTACATGTAGTTATGATTTTTAAAACCACAGTGTGGCCAGTGTTATACAAACCTTTTAAAATATACAAACTTTGTGGGTGTAATTATATTTACAGAATATACTTAAAAGGTAGCCAGGAATCTGTACAGTCAGAATTTTCTCTTACATTGGACAAATGTAAATACATCCAATTTGCAGGGTGTCGCGCAGACAAACAAGATCGTGGAAATTGTCAGTACTGGAAGAATAGAGGTTTCTGTGATCGAAATAGCAAATACTACGCGTATATGCAAGACCACTGCTACGCCACCTGTAGTAACTGCAAATGTAAGTAGAATGTATGACATACATGTACAACAGTGAATATTTAAATAGTGACCTACACTAAATTACCGCTGTACTTCAGTTGTGTAACAAATCGGCCCGCGTCTAAGTAATAAGTTTCTAATGTTTCGAGTCACAAGCATAACAAGTTCTGTTGTATTTTACAACTAAACGTTATAGCCAATCGATAATCACAGGTTTCCCTTACGAACTTTTCCCTATAATTTGGGCTGAGCGATAAACCAATCAATCGACTATCATCGTTTGAAATTGACACCTGATTTGTGTTGCAGCAACCAAAGGCACTACTGCTACATCGCAACAAGGACGTGAGTTGAAACAAAAATTTCAATACAATATTGATAACTTGGGTATGGTTCTACAGCAGGTTTGGTCTATAAGGCAGGATAGAGAAATTGGAGACGCCTAATCTACAGCAGGGTATCATGAAAATTAAGACGAAATCCGATAGGAAATCGAGTAATTTCAACTTTTTGCGGACAAAAACCTTGTACCAGAATAACTTTAAATATATTTCAGTCCTTTTTGTATTTTCTAAAAGCTTGCGATATGAATATTTGCCTGAAATAACTCCAAAAACAATTTACCTTGGGAAGTCGAGAAAATATATTTCAACGTTTAGAGAAATTGTGCAAACTCGGGTAACATTTCATCATCAGTTACTTTCAAGTGTTTCATATGAACTTCAACATTTGTTTTCGACTTTTGGTGTCGTTAGAAATGATTTCTTTTGAAAAGATATTTAAAACAGTTCAAAAGAAGTTTGCTATACAAAGTATACAATAATGTTGGTACAAAGTTTTTGTCCACTAGTTACTCGAACTTCTGGTGGATTTCCTCTCAACACTTGGAAATGAAACAGAACCTTGATGAAAATGCAATCATCACAAATTCAAAAGCAACTGACTGTGTTGCAATTCTGGGATAAGAAGTGTGTTTTTGGTTTCTAGTCTAGAGTAGGGATAGAAAATGGTTGTTCAACATGGTCTGGTAAACGGTAAAGGTTTCAGAGTCCCAGCGCCAAACACCCGTGACCCGAAACTAAGTCACGCAATAACCTTCTTTTCCAAAAAAACTTTAACCCCAACCGGGATAGGGGGAAATGCAGAGTCCGTTGTTTGATAGATGTATCATTTGTTAATGTTGCCAAGAGGCTTTGCTTTCCATTTCCTACGTGACTATATCAACTAAACTCAAGTTTGACGATACTGAACGCTAGAATTAATTTTTCCCGCCATCCATCTACGACTGATTCCTTTGCCTTCCTATTGGCTAATCCTTAACATTTAGTCGCGAAATCTGATTATGACGTGTATTTATTTCTAAACAGAAGTGCAAAACGCCTGCTTAAAAGTCCACAATTACTGGCGTGCTCAGCATGGGGCGCCGGCGCTGGTCTGGGATGCCACATTGGCTCAACATGCTCAGGCCTGGGCTAATCGCCTGGCGGCCACAAACACGTTTGAACATGCAAAGAACACTGGTGAAGGAGAAAACCTTTTCAAATCCGGTGGAGACGCGTCATACAAAGAAGCAGTGGACGCTTGGTAAGTGCCTTGCATAATCTAACTAATCTTAGGCTCTTCACATCTAGTACCTGAGCTCTGGTGCCTAGGCGCCTGTGCAAAATAGTTTTGTGTTTAGACACTGGGTACGAATACTCCAAATACCAAAGTACCATTAAGTACCCGAGTACAAGGTCGAGACCTCGCACCTGGGCGCGGGAATTTTCCCTTGTTCTAGTGTGAGTACTTCCAGTCAGTTGGAAAAAGTCTGTTCACATCTGTGCTCAGCAATGAGAATCGTACTCAGGCACCTTGCTCGGACACCAAGTATAAACATAGCTCTAATATGATTCGTTAACATAGAGCCAGTCTCTGGGCACGAAATAAAGATTGTTGTTTGTTGTTGTTGTTTGTTTGAGCCGAGCCATTCGTTTGGCTCGCCAAAAGTAACTGTGTATTTACTTTGCTTTTACAATGTTCTTTATTCCGTAATTGGTTACAAAAATTACAGTACATTAACGGAGCTCAGTCATGGTATTATGAATTATTTTGGCCACGCACAAAATTAACTTTCAATTGAACGAAACCTGAAAATAGTACTTTACTAAGATAGAAAAACACCAAACAGATAATATAATAAGAAACCATAAAGGAACATGTATGGTTAAGGATGGAGGAGACTGACACGGATCAGAAACAACGAACTTGAAAAACTTAGGCCAAACTTTTCAAGATGTACAAACCGTGACATGGCTCCTTTAACATCTTAGATCAAAGTGAAGAAACATGTTGAGCCTGAAAAGGGATCAGAGGGTCGCAGTTGAAATCTCAGGAATGTCGGGATATATACACCTGAAATAATACATAAACTGGTTTTCTGTTCTCCGCTTAATTAAGGTATAATGAAGAAAAACTGTACAATTACAACCATCCTGGATTTAGTATGGCCACCGGCCATTTTACGCAGGTGAGCTTGTGTATTTCTCGCTCATTTCAAAATCAATTATTGACCATATTGTATTGGAAGCAGCTTGAAAAATAGCTACCGATAATTTAACATAAATGAAGGATGTCTGGTTGGTGAAGTACATTAAAAAAAACTGCATGGATGAATGCGTAATTCGCTGCATTTAAAGCCGAGAATGCGCTGAAATTATCAGTTCAACCTGGAATGCGAACAACATATTTTTTTTTTAAAGAAGCAACGGATTCGGCAAATCCTCAACCCTCAAGCATTAAGTCAGTTATTTAATTTATGACACTAAATGTGAAGTCAACAGCTGATCAATGTTAAGGCGTAATTTGCAAAAAACCTTGAGTTGTTTCAAGACTAAATATATAGCTTTATATGAGCAAAGATATAAAACACCATGAATAAAATGAAATTCAGAACAGTTTCATCTAAACTGCAAGCATGAAACAACGCAGTCGATTACGATCTCGCGCTAACTGTACTTGTGCTTAATTTTAAACGTTTTTATTGGCAGGTGGTTTGGAAGGGCACCACTAAATTGGGATGTGCTATTCAGAAAAGAGGACGGGAAACCTACATAGTGGCACGCTATTCCCCGCCAGGAAACGTTGTAGGCACTGGCACGTTCGCAAAAAACGTGGGACGAAAGGTACATTTTAACTTGATATAACAGTGATGAACTCGCTTATCTTAGCTGACATTGCACTTGCACTTACTGAGGTCTATTAAGGTCGATGATATCAAATCGGATAAACAGAAAACTACCTTAGAATGAGCTACAAAGGAAACCTTTTGTACAGTTAAGCTTTAGAACCCTAAAATGAACTGAAAGACGAGAGAAAGAGTTGTTTTGTAGTATTTGCCTATCCAAAGTGATTTAGCAACAATCGTGGCTTGACACTAAGTCACAAATTATATTGATAAACTATAAACTTACACATAATGATGATGACAGTAAAATGATATGTTTTATTCTCAATTTTTAGAATAGTGGTTGACCTGAGAGGACGCAATGACGAAATGCGCCCGATCGACTGTGATCATTGGACACAGAAGGGCGGAAGCAATTTTTTGTATTGTCAGTAGATGTAGACAAAAAGTTCAATAAAATCTGAGGGTAAAATTGACCAAGCATTGCTTCTTTATTATTAAAAGAAAACGTTTTGCCTCTAAAAGGCATATGAGTTAGGAACGAAAAACGAAAGGCGGGTCAGAAAATTGAGGCAAAACTGGAGAAAAGGGGTGGGGGGGGGGGGGTGTTAAAGAGAGCCTGTGAATCAGTTGAGACTACCACCCCACTGATATCATCCCTGAGTCATATCACTCAATGTTGCCAAGTTTAATTATGCGATAACAATAAGGACCACTTATTACTTGTTCGTCGTTTCCACAAAACAAGTATCTTTGTACTCTAAATACCTTCTTTAATGTCGAGCAATAGCGCTGACTGTAGCCCCACTATCCGGTAACACCGTGACGCTGGCGCCATTAATTAGCACTACAATCAACACTGGCAATCTGTACTTATGTTTTAACAACTTACAGACTAGAGGAGGCTAGTATATCTACTTCAGGTGAGCTGGGCCTGGTTGTTGGAGGACTAATCAGCTTTGTATCTTTTCGTTGAGATTTTCTGCTTATATTGTTTGTCTTTCAGTTTTGAATTTGAATAATCACAAACTAAACTAAACATAAGCACTGAAAAACAATTTTATACAAGAAAATTTAATACCTCGGTTAAATTTTAATACTGGGTTAACCTAATCAGACTTTAAACAACCCGGCCCTTGGCATGTCATCTCACTTTCCCTTTTCTTCATAGTTCCTGGGGTAATGGGTCTTGAGTAAATCTACATGTATTACTTTTGCTGCTTAATGAAGACTGTCCTAGGGTGTTTTTTTTTTCGTTTTCCAAGTTACGCTTCTTCTCTGCTTATTCTTCCCTATATTTCTTTCAAAGCTTTAATTTTGTTTTATTTAGTTTTAATATACCTCCCTTTCTGACTCGATTAGCCTTTGCTAGCAGATTTATTATTGTTACAGTTTCCCAATTTCGGTACATCAACAAATTATATATGGGTTATTGACCAAGCTTATTCGGTCAAGATGGCTGGATATTGGCCAAGTTCTTTTTTTGCGWGTTTATGGACCKMGACWSWGTCKMGGTCCATAAACTCGCAAAAAAAGAACGAGGCCAATATCCAGTCATCTCGACCGAATAAGCTTGGTCAATAAAGGATTTATTATATGGCTTTCGGGGAAATTTTTCTTTCGGGACACAGCGGGTAGTCCCGAGAAGGCAAGATAGCTCCATCCTGCCCGCTCAGGTAGCCAATCACAGTGCAGGATTTGAGTCATCTTGCCCCCTCACGGAGCTAGCCATATAATAAATCGCATTATTTATTTAGTATTTATTCAATTGATCGTGGCAGTGCTGATATCGCTTGTCATGAAAGTAACAAATTCATAATTTCCAGTATCAGCTGTTCTCGGATCGACGATGTTATTTCCCGCCTGGTCGCGTTGTGTGACACGGGTTTGGCCAGGCTTGTGAGACCACAGTCCACCCTGATCCAAACGGCACCAGTGGAAATCGACACCTGAGGAAGAGAAAAAGAAAACTAGTAACTACCAAAAATATAATGTAACTTTTTCCATACCAAATTTTGGACTCCATAGTCTTGAAATTCGGACGTGTTCGGGCCCGAAAGCGGACTCGGAAAGGCCCCAAGCACAATGTTTTCGGTTCGGCTCATTATGCACAAAGATTTCGGCCCTAATCTGCTGTCGGTTGGTCTTTTCTCTTAAGGTCGATCAGAGGAGTGTTTATCGGTGAGCACAAAAGCAGAAAGGCGGTATGGACCCATGTATCATACCCATTCCTTCTAGTCTAGAGCGTCTCGCCGCATAATCCCTGCTTGATTTCCAGATGAAAACAGACTGCCAGCAGCCTATTTCGCCGTGTGAAGGCCGCTTAACTTCTTTTTTCACTCCACCGTATCGACAGCTTTCAGCTTATATTTTTGAGGACGAAACTAGATAAATACGTTTATGTGTAAGTGGGATGGCATAGTTTCTTTTCAAACGACGCTATTTCCAGTGGGGGCTGGGACAACAGTTGCCGGACTTTCCAAAAAAAAAAAAGAGTACAGCTGAGTTCGCGTTTTTAGTCTAAGTTTTTAAAATTTCCCATTGAGAATTTCTGTGCCTTTTGATTTTTCTATAGGATCTCGGGTTTACCGGGTACTCCATACAATTGCTTTGTCCTTGAATGGAGTCAACTGAAGACTGAGAAACGACTCCAGTTTAAGATATTTTTTTAAGATCCGCATAGTGGAACACATTTTTATTAATCAGAAGACTAGCTGTACTAACCTGGATCTACAAACAGTGCCACCAGGTGCCGTGGTCCCACAGGGGCTTCCGGGACAGGGTCTGCTGGAGAAGGAGGGGGCATCAGAACCTCCAAACCATCACCCATCGCAGCAGTTCCCACAGAGAAACCATTCAGCAAGGCGAAGATTTGTCCGCTTCCTCTACCAGGCTGTGCAACGGTATTCGTGATTTGTAGATTTGCATAGTTGTAGCAGTTGTTTTTCCGTCGAATGTTGGGGACGTTATTCCACAAGAATGGGCCAAATGGTGGTGCGAGTCGTTTACGTCGTTTACGTCTCGATGTAATGCATTCGTCCAATACGTTGCCAATTTCACTGGAGACTCTCTCGAGTAAGGGGCTTGGTAATGTACCACTTGGCATGGTCTGGAGCAGAAGCTGTTGTAGTCGCACAAGCTCACTGTCACTACCCACAATGAGTAGCTCCGCTACAGCGTCCTCTACTAAGAAACCTTTGTATCCCAGTTTTGCAGGTATGCAACTTGAACTGACGCCAATATTTTGGATTGACTGATAATCTGAGTCATTGAAAGCAGACAGATCAACTCGCCACTGTGGATCAGGACGGCCAGAAAAAACTACCAAGGTTATAAGTACGGATGCTGCAACGCAAATTATAGAACAATTTTCTGATAAATATCAGCGACATTGTAAGTGTTGTTTGATTCTATGTGTGACCTTTTTAAAAAATGTAGGGATTTTAACAGAAGTTTAATTTGGAGGGAGACAGTTATGAAAGACCAGATTCTCTTATATATCCTCGACTAGCGTCATAATTCTTGGTTTGGAAGCTGGAGGAAATTAAACAGCGTATTCGTATTCGCACTATTTTAACAGAATCAATTAAAAACAAACATTTACTTCATTGACATAACTTTATTTGAACAACACGAACTTAAAACTGTTGTACATTTTAAAAACTTCGATCCTCGCCCATGCACAGAAGTTTTCTAATGCGTTAACTCACAAAAGATGACACATAAATTAATAAAAAAAACCTTGGATGCGTCTTTTCTATTAGTAAAATTTATTTATTGGGTAAGGTCAGCCGATTCCCAAAAGTAGCCTTTCGATGTAAATGGTTTTGACGGCAACGTGTTGTGACTGCAACCTATAAGCTATAAACTGCAACCTTTAAACTGCACGCGATACGTGTGAAAGGAATAAAGAACACGAAGAGATACGTATTAATTAAATGTGATTTCTGCGAAGCAAACATTCACGCAACGGCCTCCATTGGTATATTGGCTATAATTGTGTTGGAATGATTCACCTTTTTATTTATTCTACTCCTCTCGTCTGTGCCAACGATTTCTTTCTCAAGCAAAGTGTTAACCGTTCGATTTTTATCTATTTTTCATTCATGATTTTCATACGTATATATATGAATATATTTTCTATTGTTCAGACAACTATTTTTGGCTTTAGTGAGAGTCAACTTATGAGGTCTTTCTTTGAAAGAATGCTGTAGTTGATCATCACAACTTACGTTGTCTTACCTGCTGTGGTCGGGATCATGGTCGTCTGACCCTCAGTTGCAGGAGCCGTAGTCGTCTGGCCTTCAGTTGTAGGGGCGCCCATAGTCATCTGGCCTTCAGTTGTAGGAGCGGCCATAGTCGTCTGGCCTTCAGTTGTAGGGGCACCCGTGGTCGTCTCCCCTTCAGTTGTAGGGGCACCCATAGTCGTCTGCCCTTCAGTTGTAGGGGCGCCCGTAGTCGCCTGGCCTTCAGTTGTAGGGGCACCCATGGTCGTCTGGCCTTCAGTTGTAGGGGCACCCATGGTCGTCTCCCCTTCAGTTGTAGGAGTACCCATAGTCGTCTGACCATCAGTTGTAGGGGCACCCATAGTCGTCTGACCTTCAGTTGTAGGGGCGGCCATAGTCGTCTGGCCTTCAGTTAAAGGTGCACCCATAGTTGTGTCGCGTTCAGTTGTAGGAGCACCCAGAGTCGTCTGGCCCTCAGTTGTAGGGGTACCCATGGTCGTCTGGCCTTCAGTTGTAGGGGCACCCATGGTCGTCTGCCCTTCAGTTGTAGGGGCACCCATAGTCGTCTGCCCTTCAGTTGTAGGGGTACCCATGGTCGTCTGCCCTTCAGTTGTAGGGGCACCCATAGTCGTCTGCCCTTCAGTTGTAGGGGTACCCATGGTCGTCTGCCCTTCAGTTGTAGGGGCACCCATAGTCGTCTGCCCTTCAGTTGTAGGGGTACCCATGGTCGTCTGCCCTTCAGTTGTAGGGGCACCCATAGTCGTCTGCCCTTCAGTTGTAGGGGTACCCATGGTCGTCTGCCCTTCAGTTGTAGGGGCACCCATAGTCGTCTGCCCTTCAGTTGTAGGGGTACCCATGGTCGTCTGCCCTTCAGTTGTAGGGGCACCCATAGTCGTCTGCCCTTCAGTTGTAGGGGTACCCATGGTCGTCTGCCCTTCAGTTGTAGGGGCACCCATAGTCGTCTGCCCTTCAGTTGTAGGGGTACCCATGGTCGTCTGCCCTTCAGTTGTAGGGGCACCCATAGTCGTCTGCCCTTCAGTTGTAGGGGTACCCATGGTCGTCTGCCCTTCAGTTGTAGGGGCACCCATAGTCGTCTGCCCTTCAGTTGTAGGGGTACCCATGGTCGTCTGCCCTTCAGTTGTAGGGGCACCCATAGTCGTCTGCCCTTCAGTTGTAGGGGTACCCATGGTCGTCTGCCCTTCAGTTGTAGGGGCACCCATAGTCGTCTGCCCTTCAGTTGTAGGGGTACCCATGGTCGTCTGCCCTTCAGTTGTAGGGGCACCCATAGTCGTCTGCCCTTCAGTTGTAGGGGTACCCATGGTCGTCTGCCCTTCAGTTGTAGGGGCACCCATAGTCGTCTGCCCTTCAGTTGTAGGGGTACCCATGGTCGTCTGCCCTTCAGTTGTAGGGGCACCCATAGTCGTCTGCCCTTCAGTTGTAGGGGTACCCATGGTCGTCTGCCCTTCAGTTGTAGGGGCACCCATAGTCGTCTGCCCTTCAGTTGTAGGGGTACCCATGGTCGTCTGCCCTTCAGTTGTAGGGGCACCCATAGTCGTCTGCCCTTCAGTTGTAGGGGTACCCATGGTCGTCTGCCCTTCAGTTGTAGGGGCACCCATAGTCGTCTGCCCTTCAGTTGTAGGGGTACCCATGGTCGTCTGCCCTTCAGTTGTAGGGGCACCCATAGTCGTCTGCCCTTCAGTTGTAGGGGTACCCATGGTCGTCTGCCCTTCAGTTGTAGGGGCACCCATAGTCGTCTGCCCTTCAGTTGTAGGGGTACCCATGGTCGTCTGCCCTTCAGTTGTAGGGGTGCCCATAGTTGTCTGGCCTTCAGTTGTAGAGGCGCCCATAGTCGTCTGGCCTTCAGTTGTAGGGGCACTCATAGTCGTCTGCCCTTCAGTTGTAGGGCCTAAAGTCGTTTCGCCTACAGTCATTGGGGCCATTGTGGTCGGAGCTAAGTTTTTTAAGGATAAAATAGAAACATTATTATCATTATTGTTACCGTCATAATGATATGGAATATTTTAGCAACGTAAGAGAACCAGAGTCCTTGTCGTACATATATTCTGCAGATACTTAGTAAATTTTACCCACCAAAAGATATAACTTCTTATAGCATTTCAGTTTATGAATTCTGCAGACCTAGCCCTACAAAGAATAGGACAGAACGGCTGGCCGACAATCGTACGAAGGGATGGGAGAGTGCATTGTGAAAGGAGAGTTCCAATAGCAGTTGTAGTAAGTGGTTATTCTCAGATTTAACATGTGCAATTACAAAACAACTACTTCCTCTTCAAACAGTTATCGATATTTGACTTACGCACGCACTCCCCACAAGTTGCGTTGCAGTTTTGAATCATGAAGTCAAAAAATGTGCTGCCAACTTCAAGATCACAGAAGCCAAGTGCTTTATAACCTGCACAACTTGAAGAGATGTCAGCGCTGCATACTGAGGAAACAAAGGTAAAAAGAAATTTCGTTTAATTGTGGCACTTTGTAAATTAAACCAACTTTGTGTTTGCGAAAGATACTGGTTAGTATGGAACAACTACCTTATGATATTTTATTTTGACACCTGTGGTGCTTATCTGATGACATGTGCTACTTTTCTCATAAGTTGAATGAATAAATGAGTGAATGTATAAATGAATGAATGAATGTCATCCATAAATTTGCGCTTCATTGTGCAATGTGATAATCCAAGTTTCTTCAAATGTGCACAATTTGGATTCACTCTTTAAACCACATTAATCTAAGTGGTTTAGAATATTCAATTTAGTCGTTACCTCATTATCAAAAAATAAAACTGAGCATATACAAACTATTAAATGCAATATTAATGTAGTAGAAATCAATAAAAAACTATGCAATAACTCACTCAGTGGAGCAGTCGGTGGGGGTAACGTCGTTGGTGGCACTAAAAGAAAGACATTAAAGAAAGAAATGCTCAGTTTTGTCAGGAGTGGTCGATGAGTGGATCCACGGTAGTTTGGAGATCTCCCCAATTTTTCATAATAATCTCTGCAGCTCTGCAAATAAGATAAAGGAGGTTTCCCACTGCCTTTTATAAAAGCTAAAAGTGATTGAAAACGTTCTTAAATTTGTGTGCTGTAATTTAACGTATTTGATGCACATTGACTTCACGAGTGAATCAAAATAAAAATTAGTCGGGGGAGGAGAAAACAAAAGAAGCCTGTGATGGTATTTACTTCTCTTCCACCTTATTCCTGGTCTGTCTTCCCTCTTCTCATTCTCTGCCCGATAAGATGAGTATTAAGTTTACAATATGTAAAACAAAATAATTAAAGAAAAGTCTACTGGGAGAGGGACATGCTGTAGACATTCCGATTTAGAATTAGTCAATCAGTTCGCGTGTTAGTATGTCTGCAAAACAAATGAAGTAATCTTATATAGTATCCCCGACACTCAAAATGACGAAAATAGTTGAAATGGTATCTTTGACTTTCCTATGGAAGACACAAATTACGGCTAATTCTGAAAGTTGCTTGTATGAAAAAATATATATAGGGCTGGGTAACTGAACACAGTTTTTAGATAACATACGTATTGCCCTTCACCTTTTATTTCCGGTTTACTTGAATCACGCATGACTTTCAATTCCCCTAATTCCGGTAAGCTGGACACGCACGCAACCCTTTACACACGCGTAAACTCTTGCACCTCGCGCGCCTCTCGCAGTTCATAGAGCGCGCGCACGGTTAAAGACTCTTTCGAGTGTTGTTCTTTAAATTTTTTATTCCACTTACGTTGGCACTTTCCACAGGTAAAAAGACAATTTGCCTCCTCGATAATAAGAGATATTGTTGGGTCACGGCTGTCACAAAAACCAAGAGCCCTATATCCACCACAACTGGGAGAAGCGTTCTGCTGCTCTGCCGTGCAAACTGAGGAGTAAATATCACAACCGCGATCAGTGAAAAAACAACTTAAAGTGATAAGGTAGAATGCAAATTAGCGGATATAACCTGACGCACAATATATCCAACAGATATATGTGATAATGATCTTTAGCACAGTATTTAGATCAGTGCAGGAATTGGCACTCACTGAGCCAACATCACCCCACAAAAACAAATAGTGATTATAGAAACTCACTTAGAAGACCTAGTGCAACAGTTGCCGCTATAAACGAAAGAGATCAATCAGAATAAGTTATGATTTTTTTTTTTCATTGAGACAAAGATAGAGTGGACGATGACAAAATTTGCGAAAGAATGGACGAGAACCGTTGAAACTAAAAGCTAAAAACGGTCCGCAAAAATTAAGATTGAATTTCTTTTTGAAACCAAAATACAGTAGATAATGGAAGGAAATTGCAAAATGGATACAAGTACGGGGATAAAATCATACACATAAGAGCCCATTTGAAACTTTAATACCTTGCAATTGACGTTTTTCAACATGATATTTGCCCAAAGGTATCTCGGCAAGTTCAAGCTCTGGAAAGAGGCTCCATGAGGCGCCACCACAAGCTACTTGGGATGCCACAAGGAGAAAAACAACAAAGCAGAACGACATTTTCCTGTGTTAAAATTGAAATAGAGAGAACAAGTCAGGGTCTAGAAATATATTATAACCATTAAGCAGTTAAACTGTTCTGTTAATCGATTTATAGTGGTACAGAAGAAAATTCATTACCACACTTCCAATGAATTTTAAGAACATATTATTCTCACGAACAGAAAGTTAAAGTAGAATTTATTTATTGTTTTTTTTTTTAATCTATTTATTTTATTCATTTATTTAATACTTTAAGTCTCATCATAATATCAACATATCATCAAGCAAACAGGCGACGAGAATAAATAAATAATCGTCAGCTATTGCCTTGAACATTATACTGTATTCTCAGAACTGACATATACAAGAAACGCATCACTGACAGTAAGGAAATATTTTGATCTTGGGACTGACACAGTTAACCTCTCGTGGAGGGCTCTTTAATCGAATGAAAATGACGCAAAAATAAGTATATAACCCTTTTTAGAAGGTTAATATGAGAGTTCTAAGATTTAAAGTCACGTAGTATGTTGCAGGTTGAACTTCAGAATAGCTTACTGCCCATTTCTTTTCAACCGGCCAGGGTGTAACTAAACGAACACTTAGAAATGTTAATCTGCCGCAGTCTTCGATTAATAAAAACCTGTTCTGCTCGATTCAGTATTGTCCGACATTTGATGCTCAACAAGTGATGGACCGTTGCTGATATCCACAGACATTAACACCACTGAGTCTAATTTGCGAACAACAGGCCCAGTAAGATAATTAAGACTGATATCGCGAATAAACTATGATCTTCTTGGCTTCTTACTTGGAAGCAGTAACTACATACAAGTAGTTAAAAGACTGCACACTTTTGATGTTCTCAAGATTATAAAAGACAATCGGACCCTAACATCTTTTGGGTTGGGGTGGAAGGCAAAGCACTGATTTCGTCGACCATTTCCTTTTATAGATTTATCTTCAACTTTCTTTTTTTAAGATATATAACAGTCTTCTAATTTCTGCATATCTTGTCTTTACCTACATGTACTGTAAATGTATTTTGTAATGAAATGC